AGTCTTGCAAGCCATTTCTGTAAAGACTCTATTAGTGCTCTCACTTCTCTGATTTGATTTAATATAACGACTAAATGCAGGACATCACTTTTCCCCTAAGTCATATAATCTTTAGAGCCAACTATTGTTCCTGCAATCCAATTCTTCAATCATTTTTAGCCATACCAACTCAAACTCTGATTCCAACTTGCACCTCTATAGGAGTTTACCAAAATATTTTTCTCTAAATCCCAATTTCCAATAAAGTTGAGGTATATTTTTTTGGATATTCCTATCAATATGACATTCGCATAAACGATGACAAGTATCAGGAAAAACTTTTTGAATAGCAACCGCTATTTCGGGAGCTTGATCGGTAAATATAGTTTTGGGTGACATGCCTCCCATTGCCTTCAAAAAAGTACGGAATAACCAAACAATAGAACTAGTTGTTTCATCACTTAAGAATGCACACCCAAAAAAATATTTTTCCAATGATTATTTATGCCCACAAATGGAGCACAAATCATGTCATATTTATTTGTACCATATGTAGTATCAAAAATCATCACATCTCCAAAACACTCATAATGCAATCTAGATATACTATCTCTCCAGAAATCGTTGATCTTCTTTAATTTTTTCTTTCTTCTTTTCCTTTTATTGTCCATTAGTTAAGCCTCTAATTAGCCGAAAGCGTAGACCTAAATATTGTCTTTTTTAGCTTATGCTTTAAAATAAGTAAGTAGGAACGTGAGTCCACTTCTCAAGAAATAAACTAGACCCACATAAGTAATGTTGGTTATATGACTCACATAGTAAAATTTCTCCATTTTCCCAACAAAAATATACAATCGCTTAAAATAGACTCCTTATTTTGGGGCGTGATATTTGGGAGAGAACATATTTGGGTTACAAAATTTAGACGGTAAAATCTACAGCGAACATAATATTCGCCTTCTAGTCAATTTTTTTTCCCGGTTAACATGACAAAAATTATTTATACAATGGTAATCAGGAAAAGCACCATTTATACAATGGTACACGTTGTTGTATACCATAAAATACAATTCACTCAACAATTTCTTTTCCTACATTTTCCCATATAACATAAAAAAGAATGAAATAGGAACCATGAGACAAAATTAGAAGTCTAAACAACGAGGTTTCAAGATTTTCGAAACTGAGATGCACTTAAGCTATCTACATTACATGCCTGAGACGACGACAACAACAACGACCCAGTACATGCCTGAGACAACTTTCACGATTTCAGTGGACTTAATTAATACACCTCAAGCATTGTATATATCATTCCTAAAAAGACAGAAACTTCAATAAAGCCATAACACCCAAAATCAATCCATCACGTATTGCTGTCATATCATGAAGAGTCGCTCTTTCATGCCCTATACTAGTAGTAGAAAGAAAAATGCAAGATACAGAAGCATCAAAAGTCTAGATATCAGATTTCTTAAAGAGCATCGTTATGGCAATCAATGATCAGGCCAGGAAACTTGAAATCATAAAAAATGAGGAAAAGAATAGGAGGCAGCAAAGAAATACAAAAACACCTATGGTTTCAACAGCTTAGGGATGACTGATAATTAAACATAAGACAGAATCAAGCTCCCAAGCCGGTGCAAGAGTTAGCTATGGAATCTAGACCTACATTAGAGCATTAAAGATATGTCTATTTTAGAAGACTAAGATTACGGACTACCTCCAATGGAAGAGGCATAAAAACTGTGAAACAGAAAATGTAGGAATGGAAGACGTGACCAAAAAGTTCTTTCTAGATGAATGCCAAAACTAACAGCAGCAAATTGTTGTTTTCACAAATTGATGATTGGGATTTGTTCCTCGTGATATTTGAAGGTTATGTTTCAAATTTGAGCTCATTTGAACATGTGAAATATTATCACTTGGAATAACAAGAGCATCATAAATTTTTTCAAATTTTAAAGGAAAAATATTTTAAAAAAATTCAGCATTTTTTATTTCAACAATAGTATTGTTTTCAAGTACATCACTTTTGACTACTAAAAATCTGTATGTTGCACTGCTTTTAGCATATCCAATAAATATACAATCAGATGTTTTAGATCTTATTTTTCTTTTCTTAGGATTAGGCAACATAACTTTAGAAAGGCACCCCCACACTTTCAAATATTTCAAATTAGGTGGATACCCTTTCCACAACTCATAAGGAGTTTTACCCGTTTTCTTATAAGGAATTCTATTTTGTAAATGACAAGCAGATAAAATGGCTTCACCCCAAAGATTATCCGGAGCACCAGAACTAACAAGCATGATATTCATCATTTCCTTTAAAGTCCTATTTTTTCTTTCCGCTACACCATTTGATTGTGGAGAATATGGTGGAGTTATCTCGTGAATTATGCCTTCTTTCTCACAATAATCATTCAACAAAATAAATTCACCACCTCTATCAGATCTAACTCTTTTGATTTTCTTATCTAACTGATTTTCTACTTCAGATTTATAAATTAAAAACTTATCAAAAGCTTCATCTTTATTTCTCAACAAATAAACTTTTGTATATCTAGAAAAATCGTCTATAAAAGTCACATAATATTTTTTCCCTCCTCTAGTCATAGTTTGTTTCAAGTCTCCTAAATCAGTATGAATTAAACTTAATAATTCAGATTCTCTAAATACTGAAGCACATGATTTCTTAGTTAGTTTAGCTTATGCACAAACTTCACACTTATCAATATTCAAAAAATTAATATTTAAAATAAGACCTTCAAAATGCATTTTTTTAATATAAGATACATGTCCTAATCTAGCATGCCATAAATTAAAAGAATCAATCAAGTAAGCAGAAGTACTAGCATTTTCATTGATAACATTGAGTACAAACAAGCCATGTTATCATAACCCTTGCCAACAAAATTATTATTCTTGGTCAACACGACCTTATCAGATTCAAAAGAAACCTTCACCCCCACTTTTTCTAATAATCCCACAGAGACCAAATTGGCTTAGATACTAGGAACATGCAACACGCCATTCAATGCCAAAATTTTGTCAGATGTGAGTTTGAGAAGAACTTTGCCTTTTCCAAGAACTAGAGTCGTCCTTGAGTCACCAAGATATACAACTTCTTCTCCTTCCTCAACTTGGGTGTAAGACACAAAGTTTTTTTTTGTTAGCACATATGTGCCTAGTGGCACCAGAATCTAACACCCAGTCTTTCAAATTGGCCACAAGGTTCACTTGGGAAACAATTGCAGCAATTATGTCATCCGCTTTGGCTTCAGTTAAGTTTACTTTAGCCTTAGCGGGATTGTCATTCCCAACCCTCTTCCGGCATTGAGCAGTATGATGGCCAGGTTTGCCACACACAAAGCAGTTACCTTTTTTCTTGAAGGTTTGATTGTTGGTTTTGGGCTTATAACCATTTCCTTTATCATACCTGTTATTTGATTTGTTCTGCCGCTTATTGTTCTCCACCAGGTTGGCTCTTGTAGCAATATCCTTTCCTTTGTCAGCAACAACTTGCTTGCGATTTGTATTTTCAATTATAATGTGCTTGACCAAGGCCTTTAGCGACAATTGCTTGTGTTTGTGTTTCAATTGTTGTTTGTAGTCACTCCAAGATTTGGGAAGTTTTTCGATAAGTATACCAGCAACAAACTGTTCAGGCAGAGAAATATCTTCAGATTTGATATCTTCAATCAACTTGTGATATTCGTTGATTTGCGCAGTTATGTCCTTGTCCTCCGTCATCTCCCACTTGTAGTAGTTTCCAAGTACAAACTTTTGTTTAGTAGCATCTTCAGCAGTGTACTTTGTTATCATTGACTCCTAGATTTCTTTTACCTCCTTGTAGGAAACATAGACATCGAACAATTCGTTAGAAAGAGTAGAAATTATAATATGTCTACATACCTTATTAGCATGAACCCATTGATCCATCTGAATGGAAGTTGCTTCAGTTGGCTTAGGATTAGTAAGAGCAAAAGCAACTTCATGCATATCCAAAATAGAATGCACCCGTTCCTACCAACGCTTAAAATTATCTCCACCAAAAACCTCAATTTTTGAAATATCAGGAAAAGATTTGGCATAGGTAATTGGTGATGGAACAACAACAGAAACAGTTGGTGCAGCAGATGTAGTAGCATCAACAACAACATTAGCAATGTTATTCTCCATAATAATTACGTGGAATTATCCTTAAGATTGTTGGAAAAATTGGATGATTATGGAGAATAAAAGGTTTAGCTTGAGGCGTGTCAAAGACACTGTCCTTAAGGATATTTCGCCCACACCGAGATGAATAATATTAGGCGTATCCCCAGGATTCAATAAGCTCTTCTAGTATAACTAGAAACAGAAACAACAAAGATTTATAAGAAGACAACCCAGCACAAAAGAAAGAAGAAAGAAAGTTTTACTTTATTTTTTCACTGTTGTTGAAGATGAGAACTATATATATAGTCCAAAAACAAATGGACCATCTGATAGGTAACGTCCAAAGAAGACAATATTTAAAAAGCATTAAAATGAAACGTTAAAATGCAGCTGTTATTCTCAAAAGTTAATGAAAGAAACGTAAAGAATTCATTGTGAATTCAATGCTAAGAATTTGAAGCCGAAACGGATTATCAAGAATTCAAGTCAAAGAATTCAATTCCAAAATGAAGCAGTTATAAGCATTCCTTCTAACTTTTGAAGGAAATGATTATCAAATTTAATACTAGCAAACGGACAAGACCAACTTTGGTCAATTTCAAACTTACAAAAATATAACTAATTTATTACTCATTCAATGTTAATAAACACTACTCAAATTATTCTACTTTATTTTCAATTTGAATATTCTTGTTGAGATATTAAAAAAAATAAAATAAATAAAATATATATATATATATAACAAAAGTTCTTTCTAGATGAGTGCCAAAACTAACAGCAGCAAATTGTTGTTTTGACAAATTGATGATTGAGATTTGTTCCTCATGATATTTGGAGGTTATGTTTCAAATTTGAGCTCATTTGAAATAAATTTTGGTATTAAATAGTATATTGGATTGTTAAAATTCGAAGAACAAATTTATGTTTCTCGGCAATTTTCACCTCAGACCCAATAAATCTAAAGTTGATCGTAGAGGGGGTAGGTTTGCAAGTTTTTTTGCAAAATGGGTATAGGTTCAATTGTGACCCCAAAATCGAGTATAGATGCAAAAGCTCCGCTTTCTGTTGACACCGGCAGAAAGTAATTTCCTCTGATCCTTCTCCAAGCTAAAATTGCAAGTTGAGTAGTGCCTTCCATTCTTTCTCTGATTTTGAATCTGTTAACGATAACTTAGCAGCGAAGTTGAGCCGTAAGAATATATCTGTCTGGTCAAATGCACTTAACATGGTCAGTTTGGCATTATAAATGAGTTCATGCAGAAGATCAATCAAGCGACCTGAGGTATTGCTTCCTTCACCTCCTGGAATTTAGTAAACAAGACACAGTATGAATTTATGTGATCAAGTCTCTATCTAAAGAAATTACTGTGAAATTCTCCTTACATTCGAAACCTCTACCCATAGATCAAGTGTCTTCAGCGCTTTGCCTGAGACTAGTGTCTTACGAGCTAATGCAACTCCTTCAGCCAGATTCTTAACATGTCCACTTACCAGGAGAGCAGCTGCTGCATTTAGTGCCTGTGAATTTGTTTGATAGATAATGTAAGAACTTTCAAGGTGAAATGACATTATTGAAAATGGAAACAAGTGCTCTGTCAATCTTTTTATAAGGAGGAGCCTTAAATCTGACAACAAGCTACATCAATTAGATAAGTTTATAAGGATACTTGAAGCATAACAGACAAAGAAACTTACAAATGCATCAGCAATCGGCCCTTTTTCTCCGGACAACACGCGTTTGAGCATCTCGGCATTGTAATCTGGACCTCCACCTCGCAAGCTTTCCAGAGTACAACGCGGGATGGCAAAGTCCACTATTGAAGAATAATCTTGTCAGATTTATTTTTTCACAAAGACAATGTTGTATATAAAAATAAAAAAAAGGGGGCAGCCTGGTGCACGAAGCATCCCGCGTTCACGCAGGGTCTGGAGAAAGGTCGCATCCTAAGGGGTGTGATGTAGGCAGCCTACCCCAAAGAGACAATGTTATATGACTAGTGAAAAACACATTAATCATATTGCATCATTTTTTACTGCAGAGTTCACCAACTACTTAGGGTGGCATTCACTTGTTATCAGTGCGAAGCAATAAATACATCTGGCTCCGGGCTGCCCTTTTTCTGATTTCATGAGTTACTTACATGGATCAAAGGAGAACTTCTCAATATTGTCTGGTGTGACATCAAGGACTAATCCAGGGCCTATGAAATGAATTGTCATACTAAAAGATATACAAGCAAAGTCAAACTAAAAAGGACAATGTTACCAAAGACAACATATTTACTAGTGTCGTGGAAGGGGACCATACCAAGAGGACTCATCTCATCTAGGCCTTCTGAGTGAACAACCAATGCTCTTTTCATGCCAAATCTCTGGACTGCTTTAGCCATTTTGTGGACCTACAACAAGAGATGTTTCATTCACCAAATGAATGTACACAACACATAAAGAATAACATTGAAACAGGTCAGAAAGCTATGAACCAAAGGGCAGAATGAAGATAAGACCAGAAAATTTAGCACCTCAATTCACATAATTTAAGACTACAAGATTCTTAAAGCCACATTCATAGAACAAGTGATATTAGTGTACTTCAACAGTTGAAAATATACCAGGTCTTCTTTGTAAACTCCAACTACAGCAAATGGCGCTCTTGCTGGGTTCAACATAGGCCCCAAGATATTGAACACTGTCTTTACTTTCAGCTTTTTCCTGATAGGTCTGACAATCTTCATCGCTGGATGATATATTGGAGCCATCATGAAACCTATTCCAGCTCGAGTTACACACTCTTTCACCCCCTGAAGCCAGTAACAAAGAATAAATGCATGGTTATTAGATGGCTCAGTAATTAAATTACGTTAATAATTTGATTTGGTGAACGCCACATCTAGTGTCTCTCCTTATAAAGCAAATATTAACTAATGCGATAGCAAACTTCATTTTTAAACCTTCATTTCATAAAACTACATCATATTTTTCTCTTTTCATAAAAAAAAATAATCATAGAACTACAATACAATATTAAAAGTCCTCAACTACCAACATTTTTCAGCCAAGAACA